ATCGCACAAAAAAATGTAGACCATCCACATGTGAACTAGGGGTCACAAAATGAAATGAGAGAGTAGTAAGTTGAAAATGAACAAAAGGAAGTTCTTTGTCACATAGTGGGCATATATACACATGTGCATTTAATGCACAGTATACAAGGCACATTCAGGGGGCGCATCTAGACGTGCGCCCCTTAATGCACCTAAAAATGGTGATTTGGGGCTATTCAAACCTAAATTTGATACCTGCATAAAGCAGGTATCAAATTTATGCATGAATAGCTAAGTCGCATTAGCAAACGCGAAGACATGCTAATGCGCATTAATGCGGTGTGTGTCTATTGACTTGGGACTAACTTTAGTCCCAAGTCGGTCTGCACACCCACGTTAACGCGCCTTGGCAAATGCATGTGTAGTCACGCACCTAAATCGCCTTAATGTGTATTAAGCTAATGCACATTCAGTTTAGGTGTGCATAAAAGCACATGTAGACATGCCCAGTGTGTAATTAAAGTGTGGAACTCATTGCCACCATATGCGGAAGCTGACAGTTGAGCCAGATTCAAAAAGGGACTGGACAAATTCTTGGAGGAAAGGGGCATCAGTAGCTCTTGAGCACAAGAGTCAGGGTTACAGCCTCTGAATAAGAACTTCCTAGATCTTAAATTTTGGAGTCTGCAAACGGGAGAGGAACAGTGGCAAAAAAACTGGTCATACCCAGACAGACAAGGTACTTTGGGTAAATGTGATATCTTTTATTAGACCAAGTAAATAGTTGGAAAAATTGTTCTTTACAAGCTTTTGGGCACAAACACCCTTCTTCAGGCACAGGGAGAGTCTGCTGGTGTTTGTGTACTCTCCTGGGTGGAATAGAAGCATAAGCCAATATGCAAAATGCAGGTCTGTGGAAATGCAAATGTGTGGCAGGGAAGATCAGAGAGATGGCAGTTAAGAAGTGCAAGACAGGTATGGAGGGGGAGGGGGCAGGGAAGAGGGAAATGTTGCCCTGGTGATAGAATATAGCTGGTAAAATGTAGAGAGTTACCTGGGGTTATCAGATGGCAGGCTAAATATAGACATTGGATTTATGGCACATTATAACCTGCATGACATCTGATAACCCCAGGTATCCTCTACATTTTACCAGCTATAGTCTGTCACCAGGTCAACATTCCCCACACCCCATACCTGTCTTACACCTGTTAACTCCCATCCCTCTAATCTTTCCAGCCACGCATTTGCATTTTCACAGACCTGCATTTTGCATATCGGCTTAAGCTTCTGTTGTACCCAGGAGAGTACACACACACACCAGCAGACTCTCCCTGTGCCTGAAGAAGGGTGTTTGTGCCCAAAAGCTTGTAAAGAACAATTTTTCCAACTATTTACTTGGTCTAATAAAAGATATCACATTTACCCAAAGAACCCTGTCTGCCAATGTCCTTAGACCAACACATCTGTAAAAACACCCCTGTTCATACCCAGTTCACTCTTCCTTTCAATATCCACTGTCTGTCCTTGTGTGACATAGGAGACTGCACAAGATGGACATATGGTCTGATCCAGTAAATGGCAATTCTTATGTTCTTAGGTACATGCAAAGTTAGGCCGGCCACAAGTGCAAAGTAATTATCACACAACTTGTTAATTGCCCAGTACATTTAGACTAGCCACCTATACAAAGTAATTATAACATGATAAAAATGGCTATCCAGCTGTAAAAAGAGCCAATGAGCTATAAAGGTTGTGCTTGAAAATATGTAACAACTCTATAGCTGGTTTATATCCAGCTTTAATTTGAACATGTAGTAGGGAGGGCCCTTAGAAATAGCCAGGAGATTTTAAAGATAACCACAAAGACTTGTTAGGTATTTAATGTGTGGCTTTCAAATGTGGTTCTAGTTGGTGCTGATCATCTCTTCTTTGGCCAGTTAAATCATGCTGGAATCCAGTTGAGGGATGCTTGGAGTCTAAAAAAGATTGGGAACCACTGAGTTAGACCAGTGGTTTTCAACCCTTTTTCATTTGCGGAACCCTAAAAAATTTTGAATAGAGGTGTAGACCATTTTGGACATTTCAAATGAAGGTGTGGACCCTTTTGAATTGTAAGTGTTGGTATTCACATACTTTTGATCATAGTAATCTTTTGTGGATCCCTTATGTGCGGGCCGGGAGCGACCCGAGCCCTTTTCCGTGCTGCACGTGGGCTGTGGCCAGCAGCCCGGGCATGCCAGGTCGGAGAGGGAAGGCCGTCGAGCTGGAATTAGGCACAAACGCGTAGCGGTAGTTTTAAAGATTGTTTACTTGCACCGAGATGGCAGTGGTGCAGGCTGGAAAACTTGCTTGAGTTGCGGTTACAGACAGGAAAGAAGAGAGGCGGACAAGAGTTCTAAACTCGTGAACTCTAGCCCAATCCAGCTGAAGGCTCTGAACACGCGAGTCTGTCGTCTCAACCGAAGAAAATACTCGTCCGAAAGAGCTCTGAATAAACTCACACGAAGTTTGCTAGGCTCCGTGGGTCCGGTTCTTTTGCGCGCAGGAAGGGATACGTCTAGGAATCTATCGGCGACGGGGAGAGGCTAGAGGCTGATCAGACCTCTGTTGCCTGCTTGAAATGCGTTGGGTCCGTAGGGATCCGCAGTGCTTAGAGATCTTCACACAGCGTGAAGTCTCCTCCTCCTGGTGTTCGTGGAGTCCTCCAACTTGGGCAGAAACCACTCGAGCCTCTTATACGGCTAGCAAGCCAATCACTAGCTGCCACGTATGAATAATTTAGAACTGGCCAATAATGGGACTCAAATTAGCATACAAATGGCAGGAACTCTTTGCAACGAGCATTTCTGTGCTGCAACAAAGAAATGCACCCTGCAAAGAAAGCTTCAAATTGGCGGGAAATTCTCCCTTGCACCGGGGTTCTCTTTTGCAGCAGAAAACTCCACCGTGCAAAGAAGCTGTAATTTAGCGGGAACAATTTAGCAGTGCCGAAGCACACAAAAACAAAAATCACACCCTTTGGGTTGTGACACCTTAGATGTAATCTGCGGATCCACAGATTGAAAACTACTGAGTTAGATAAACATTTGTATATGGTGGTAGAACAGGGCCGGACTAGATGATCTTCCACCCTTACTTTTCTATGGTTTTGTCTATCTCATGAGCACTACTGAATTAAGTCCCATAACCTTCCTTAAGTTATATAATTTCTTTATTTTACAACTGTGGAAAGAGAGGTGCAGCTAGATTAAGGATGGTACCTCTCATCATACTAGTGCTGGTGTAAGATTCATGAGAACCTGGAGGACAGGCTAAAGGCCGGGACACTTCCTTCTCTCACACACACATTACACAACTTGCACCCTCAGTAACTTCATCAGGCTTTGGCATGTATGGGCTGCAACTGTGTGTGCTTCCCTGCACTGCACTTCCAGGGTACTTTGATGCTGCCCGTTAAATCCCTGGCCTTATTGCTCAGACAGCCAACAAAGGAGCCAATGAGGGTGGGATTTTTTAAAACATTCAGTTTTAGTCTAGCACTACTCTCTTTGAAGTCAATAGGATTTCCACCATAATTAAGAAATGGGTGGTTCAGAGTTCTGTTTGAATACATTGTAAGTACCCACTGCTACTGGGGTCATGGAATCAGAAAAGGGACCTCACTACTAGGTTATCTGGTTCAAAGCCCTGTTCAAGGCAGGAATGTGGTTCCTTCTCTAGAGTACTGCCATCTGTGTAAGTAACCCTTCATTCTCCAGCAGATTTGATTTGCTGAGAACCCAATCACTTCTCTAGTTCTGATGGTGCCCTTCCCCCGGTTTAGATTTGCAAGAAGAATGCTGTAATCCGGGATCTCAAGACCCACTTGCACCATTTGGCAAAGTTCTCCGAAAACCACATCCTGCGCAGCAGGCAGGAAGCAGAAAAGCAGCAGAAAGGGGAGTTGCGTGCCTCGCAGGCAAAGTGTGCCAGGCTCCAGCAGGATATACAGCAGCTACGAGCGCAGCTCAATGCGCTTGTCGCCGAGAACCGCGAGTCAGAACTGGCTCTCAGAAAGGTACCAAGGGGGGAGTGGTTGGGTAACAAGGAAAGCTATTAAACCACTGGGAGTTCTTAATCTTGTCTGCAAGTGTAACCACATACCAGCTACCAGCCATTCCTGGCAGGATGCACCTGCCATACTTCTGAACATCCCATCTCTGACCTAACAGTCTACTGATTTCACTGGAGAGCGCCCCCACAGCTGTACAGTGGCAGCCATCAATGAAGCCTCTCCACAGTAGCACCCTCAGCTCTCTGGAGGTCACAATACACTGGCTGTCCCCCCATCACTGAAAAGACATTCTTCTTGTGACACTGCTGCAAAAAATCAATGAACCAGCTGGCATTCATAAAAGAATGGGTAGTGCAAACTGCAAGGCTGGCAAAGCATATTTTGAGAAGCCGGGGAAGTAACAGGATCTTCAGAGCAAACAGAATATTGGTTAGATAGTAGACAGTTTCCTTGTTTCTCTTATTGGTTGTGCAATAATATCTGGGGGTTCCAGTTATGGAGGAAGACCCTGTACACACACCTCGGACTATTTTTCCCCAGTCACAAGCATCCCAAAACCTTGAAACATGATGCTTCCAAACATAGGGTTGGACTAGACGACTCTTGAGGTCCCTTCTGATCTTCTGACTTTGTGACTTCAGTGGCATTGCTCCTAATGGAGAGTAGCAACATTGTGCAAGAAACATCTATAGATTTAAAATGAACAACCCCTCTATTTTTTTTTTCAGCCAGTGCTGTCTCTAAATGGACAATGACCAACTTGCAAGCAAAACAAAGATCTGTTTAAGAGATGTCTATATATCCTCTCTTGCTCTTTCAAAACACTATGAAGTACAAGGTAAAAAAAGGCTTCATAGTATAGGGTCACATAGAAGTGAAAATTATCAAAGCAGTTTGGAATCCAACCAATCTATGAACCCAGCCTACGACAGCTTCCATTAGAACTGCTTTATTATCCAGCTTCTATTCAAGCTGAACATCACTTCTGTTTTCTATTATAAACTGCTCAACTCAATATATTATATATACTGAGAGAGCAGAGGGAAGAAGAAAGTGGATTTACGCACCACTGCAGTCTCCTCTCCCTTCCTGAAAGAATGTACACTATCCCCCAACAGCCAAGATTTTCGTAGTTCTTAGGAACCCAAGTATAAACAGCTAGGAATTGTCAGAATCCAGGCCACCTGAACAACAGGCAGGAGGCAACCATCATGGTCTGCAAGCCATATGACTGACTCTTTGTGATGCTTGACAGGGTATACCATTCATTCTAAAAAGTGTGGTCGGAGAAGAAGGGTTCTGGTAGTAGGGAGTAAGTTCAGTGAGTGGATGAATTAACTCGATATGGTTCTATGACCTGTGTTGTAAAGGAGGTCAGATTCCATGACTGAAAGTTCCTGTCTGGCTTTAAAATCTACGAGTAGGTCCATGGAGTATAAATACCAAGTGCAAGAGAAACAAAGCTTTGATAGATCTCTTTACAGCTACCTTGGATTTAGTCATATGCTTGCAGCAAGTCATTTTTAGTCTCTTCCAGTTGTGTGTTTGGACAGCACCTATCATTAGAGCATGTAGATGCTATAATGGAATCCTGGCTCCCTGCTATAGACTGAGCCTGCTCATTTCTGCCCAGGGAAATGATGTCTGTTTGCTTTAAGTGCTGAAGTTAAAGGAAAAAGCACCCCATACTGAGGAATCTTTCCAAAAAGAACAGGCATTCTCTTCAAGCATATTAGCTCCTAGGATTCAAACCTAAAGCCCCTTCGGTCCTGGAATGTTATAGCATGTTACAAGTCTATATTCAGTTGCCTACAAATACTTTTCCGTATGTTATTTCAGAAGAAGTACAAAGTGGAGATGGAAATCGAAAACTGGATCCAAAAATATGATGCTGACATGGGAGAAAAACAGGTATCCTCACTAGTTAAGATGGGGTGGCCAATCTGTAGCATGAGCAGCCTGTGTGTGTGATGGCAGATCAGGAGGGGACAGGCAGCACAGCAGCAGACAGAGCAGGAAGCAGAAAGCAAAGCAGCAAACCAGACATGGAGCACAAGGAAGAAATCAGAGCAGGGGAGGCAGATCAGGCATTTGGGGAAGGTATGGGGCTAAATGGTGGCATGCCTGTATAGCAGGTTAGACCCAGACATTTGTGTTGTCTTTGAGATGTCTGGTCCAGGTGGATCTATCTCAACCTGTACATAAGCCTCACTCAAGAATGCCAGCAAAAGGTGTGCATGCACCTTGAATGAGGTTCATATGAACAAGCTATCTAAAATAGGAACCACCATCAGGGGCGACACATACAGGGTGCACACAGGTTCACGTGCACCCCCTGAGCGTGGCGGTGCATCGTTCATGACAACAGTAAGGCAAACAGTTGTTCATTGTCCTACCTTTGTATTCAGCAGCTGTCTATTGCTGACTTTAAGAAGGGTTGTGCCAGCTTGAAAAATCCTACAAGCACACTTAACACTTGATAACTGTTCTGCCAGTCTGTCAGATGGGTCCCTCTGCTGCCACTAAACAGGGTGTTCAGGTTTCCTTCAATCTTCATCTCTGCTGGATCCATCTAGTGTATGGATCAAGTTATGCAAGAAGCAAGGATTTCTTAGGGCCCCTCCACACATGCAGGTAAAAGGTGCTATGGGATCTAATGTGCAATCCACACAATCGAGGCACAATTGTGGGATCATGCATTAGGTCCCATTGAACCTTATCACCAGACAGGGCTCAGAGGTTGCAGCAGTGGCAGTGGTACCCTGTGCTGCCCACACTAAAAGCCCCATACCGCAAAAGGCTCCCAGTGGTGGCAAGCTCCACAGCCAGGGAGGCTCGCAGACGGCCAGCATTCTGCCTGCCACAAGCCCTACAGCTGACAATACTGCCACCACTGCAAGCCTTGTCAGCTACGGGGCTGGCAGCAGCTGGTGTACTACTCTAGCTGTGAGCACCTCAGTTGATGGAGTTCCCAGCCACAGGGGAGCACCTGGCCTCATGTTCAATTAATGGTGTGATTAAAATAAGCTACAAAGTATTACATATTTTTTGTGGAATAACTTTGTAGCTAATTGCTTGTTTTATATCACACCACTAGTTGGCTGAACATATAGCTGGGTCACAACTTAAGGCACAATCACTTGGTTAATTATGCCTTAAGTGTACATGTAATGGCATCCTCAGAGGGATATTTGTAATTGGGCCAACTATGTACTTGAGATAAAGTTAGACAAGCTTTTGAATGCAAGGCATTCTTCATCAGGTCTTGCATTCAAAAGTTTGTCTAACTTTACCCAGCTACACGGTTGGTTTAGTAAAAGATATCACCCTAAGAAATCCTTGCCCCTCATAATTTCTGGACCATCACAGCTACAGCATCACTACTCTACTCTTGGATTAATCTGCTGTTTCTACCTCTCTTGCCAGTTTGTTAGATAAATAATTCAGAACCTGGAGACTGAAAGCAAGTGTATCGTTGCTCAGGTTTTCACAGATATGAAGCATGACCACACTTCCAGAATCTGCTAATTCCTCTGATGTTTCTGATATTTTACCCTGATCAGTACAGGTAGCTTAATTAAAAGCAAAGTGCAGGCTTCTGGAGACAGACCAGGAAGAGTGCCACTGTCATAACAGTAGGTCCTTGTCAGCAATGTAACAATGTATTAGGAAGCCAAACAAACTAGATACCAAGCTCTGCATGTTCCCAGCTGCCCTTGAAGCCATCGTCATGCAGAAAGGCAGAACTGGATAACTTGGCGTGAATGCAGCTGGCACAAGTGCTGCTGGTTCTCCTCATCCTAATCTTTGACCATGTTATCTCTAAACAAGGCAGCAGAGGGCATCACAATTAGAATTGTGCTGACATTTTCAAAGCAGCTAAGGGAGTTTGGCAGCTAAGGGAGTTAGGCTTTCCAGAGCCCACTGAAATTCACTGGATGTTGGGTGCCTGACTCCCTTTAGGTTCCCTTGAAAATCGCAGTTCACCAAGGGCACCAGCTCGCCCTTCACACATTTGTGATGGATAAAACCATCACCATCACTGCATCTACCGCCTGGGATCTCTCTGAATAAAAGGTGCAACTTTCAAGTAAAATAGGGTGACATGGTACCTGCCATTGATAAAGCTATACCTAATATTTGCCATTCCCTTAGATGGAGTATGAGGAAGTCGACGCTATCTACACTGAGGAGAAGGCCCAGCTGGCTCAGCTGAAGGAGATATATGCTGTGCTTGAACAAGAGTATTCCCAGATCAAGGAGGAAAGGAGGATAGCCCAGGAGAAGAAGGAAAGAGCAGAGAGGGAGCTGGCTATCATGATCCGTGCAGCCACTCGCATCCAGGCCTTTTGGAAAGGCTACTTGGTCAGATCACTGTTAAAGTCAAAGAAGAAAAAAAAAGGAAAAGGCAAGAAGGCAAAGGTCAAAAAATAAACTACAACTCCACCTTTTTCTCTTCCCTTCTCAACATCCCAGACACTTACCCTCGGATTTCAACTACCCCCGCCATGTTATCATTTACCCTATAGTATGTATTTGATGCACAACCTGTTCAGTACAATAGATAGTTCTTGTACACAAGTTTGAGACTGTAAAAGCAATTCTATCATAAATAATTTTCAACCAACATTTTAGACTCCATTTCTGGGTAGAAGCATCACTGGTCTGAATTTAAAGTGGAAACTTATGGTTAAGAGACTGGACCAGGAACTAGTCCTGACTGGATTCTGTCAGTTAATGGAAAAATTCTCAGTGGGCATTGGGTTTGTGCATAGGTCCTTAATGTCACTCAGTTTCTCTGTCTGTCACTTAGGGATAATTCTCATCCGTGCAAGCTGGGGGTTGAGACAGTTCACTAACAGTCGTTTCAGATCCTTGGATGGAAGATGGGCAAAACATTATTTTCTTTTGAATAAGACACCCTTTTTAAATGAATTAGTTTTCTCTAAAATAGCCTGTCTTAAATTCAAGTTAAAAAAAAATAGTAAAAGTCTTGCATATGCACTGAAGTTGTGTCCTTGTAAATGTGTCTATATTTGCGGTGTTCATTTTTTCTTAAACTGGGAGTCAGAATGTGTGTACATTTTAAACTCAGGGACACTGTATATTCAAAAGAATGTGGTGTTATCCATTTTGTCCTCACACTCTTAACCATCATTGCAATGATCAGGTATAAAGTTTTTGATGATTAAAGCAACCGATCATGCTGCAACTCTGAAAAGCCCCTGACTTTGTCTCACATGCACAAGACAAACCAAACCCTGTTTGGGTCATGTCCATCTTAGGCCTGAGAGCCCCAACAAATCCCAATTTTAGACAAGGATCAAATGGACAAGAGGGAAGTGGCAGAACCCTTTTCACACTCTTCCCACAACTGTGCTGGCCAAAATGCCAGCACAGTGATGTGCAGGCTAGAGACAAATGCATCCTGGTGGTTTCTGGCCATCTACATTCTTTGGGCAAGAATAGGGAAGGCAGCGCTGATCCCTTCTGAGGACCAGATTGTAGATGATTTTCCTGCTCACTTTCTAGCCTTTTGTTCCAACCCTGGTTTTGGAGCCCCTTCAGTTGCAGGCCTCCTGTTCAGCAGAGCTGCTCCCATGGAATTCAAATCCATCAAATTCTGTCTTCTGTTTCCTTGGAACCCTCAAAAAAGGAGATGCTCTTCTTTACCTACGAGTCAAAGATTAGCGTGAATTGCCTCCAGATTCCAAGAACCAGCCCAAAGATCTCTACTGTACCTGGCATTGTAATCAAGGTTGAAACTGAGCCAGAGAAATGGGGTGTAGCAATGCCCATCCCCACCCTAAAAACTGCAAGAAACATGGCACATTTTTTTCTGCTCCTTCATTTATTTACAAGCATTTAGCACAAGGCTGATACAACAGCATGCCACAATGCTCAATATAAATTCGCTCTTTCAACCTTCAGCTGTCTGCTCACAGCCAGGGCTGGATCCGAACCCCACTGAAGCCATCAGGCCTTCCATTTGCAAGATGATGCCTTAAAAAGTAGGGCTGCACCACAGATTTCAGGACACCCAGAAATCTTATTCCTTGTCCACTTGCAAATTGGCTCTTTCCTTATCCTGCTTGAACCAAGACAACCCCTCACTGGAACCTAACAGGAAAGATAAGGCATGATTTCCTGCTACCCCAAATCAGGTAAAAGGAGGTTCCCCAACCTGCAGCCATAACATGAGGTTCAGAGGAGACGCATCTCTCATCTTAGTATATGCACTGTTGGTTGATAAGTGTATTTACATATATACATATTTTAAAGCAGTAAATTCATTTCCAGGGTGGTTTGGGCTGGCATAAGGCTGTTGTCCTGGGTACCCTGGCAGAGGACGTTCCTAATACACTCTTAGACCGAGCCCTTGGCAGAGAACCCTGGGAGGCTACAGAGGCTGTCAGGGAGCGCTGGTTTTGATGCTTGCCTGTATTTGGACTGTCTGCAGATAGCCAGAGCTGATCAGAAGGCCTGTATACCTGGGTAAGGGACTGAGAACGGCCCCGGTTGAGGTTGCCTGGACTGACAGAGACCAGACCACTCTCAGGCCATTTCCAGAAAGAGGTTTTCCCTTCTGTCTCACAATGGCCTAGTCTCTGAGATTTTGGGGTCTTTGGGTGAACAGCTCTCAGAGGGGTCCCCTTGGAACAAGAGGTAAGGCTTGAGGAAAGGCTTGACTGGGTCCTGGGAACAGACGAAGGGGTCCACAGGAGGGAATGGAGTTTAGCTATATCTTCTTTCTTCATCCGCCGTGCTGCCCAGCCTGGCTCGTCAGCCTTTGAGCCAAACAACGATTCATCACAGTAGGATGGAGAGTGACTTTTCAACCTTCATTGAGAAAGAAAGGGGTGGGATAGGGGGAAGAAAATAATTACTACAAAGAGAATATAGAGTAGTGGCCGTTGCATGCAGAGACCTAATGATCACTCAGAAGGTGCAATTAGCAAGTGAGGCACGCTTGTCCTACTTAATTTCCATGGGACTCCTAAACTAGTTAGATACTTTTGAAAATTCCACCCAAAAACTTCTTTTTAAGGAAAGAAATATTAGGCAAAAAACCCCTTTGTGGTATATTTCTCATCCCTACACCTAAAAAAGCTTCACAAAGAGAGAGGAGTCATTTCCATTTTACAGATGGGAAAACAGAAGCCTATCCAGATCAAGCAACTTGCCAAGCAAAAACGGCAAGTCAGGGGCAGAGACAGGAATGCATCCAGATCTCCTGTCCTCACACATGGCTGTGCAGTAAGTCAGACTAGAGAGCCTCTCACCAACCAGGATGAGCTCCCTTGCCTCCAGCTATCCTCACTGGCATCCTCGTCATCCAAAATGTGGATGTGGATAACCTGGAAAGGGTTCAGAGGAGGGCTACTTGTATGGTTGAGGGCCTGCAGGTAAGACCCTATGAAGACAGACTGAGAGATCTGAATCTCTTCAGCCTCCACAAGAGAACTGAGAGGTGATCTCGTGGCTGCCTACAAACTCATCGGGAGTGGATTCAGATTGGACATCAGGAAGAAATTCTTTAAGGTGAGGGCTGCCAAAATCTGGAATGGGCTTCCAAGGGAGATGGTGCTCCCCTTCCTTGGAGATGTTAAAGAGGAGGTTAGACGAGCACCTGGCTGGGGTTACCTAACCCCAGCGCTTTCCTGCCCAGAGCAGGCGGTGGGACTTGATCATCTAATAGGTCCCTTCCAACCCGAGAAAATTATGAAAATCCAGCTTCCCAAACCCACGCCCCATGCTGCCCTTCCCAGCCCTGTCCCTGCTCCCCGCATTTCTCCAAATGCCCCACCGTTTCCACGCTCGGCCTCATGGGCCGGGCCCGATTCCACCCGGCGCCCGCCCAGTCCTCTCCGTCTCGCCCCTCTGGCGGCTCGTCCAGACCGCGAAGACGGGTCACGCTCAACACGCCCCAGGCCCAGCGAGGCAGGGGGCCGGGCCCCGCAGATCACCCAGCGCACCGGCCACCCGTGCAACAAGCGCAGGCGGCAAAGCAGTTATAGCGCAACAAACGTGGACTGGACACACGTGCAAAGCAGCTGTCATGCAAGTC